TCCTTACTCTTCAATATGCGTTGTGTTCAAGTGAGAAAAGACGAACGATTCAGCTCTCAATAAACTCAATGAGATGCACGCAGCGCTTTAGCGCAATCGCAATGAAAACGCGCTCTATGGGTACCAAGAACAACGTCATTTGATTACGGTATACAATGAGTGCGGAGTTAATGAGCAAGTGTAAATTCGTGTCGTTGAGCTCATTGAACCTCATACTGCGCGCATGATTTCAACAAGAAAATGGCGCAGAGTAAATCTATCTAATGCAAAGATGCTATCAAATCGCTTCAAACGAAGCAGACTCCGACATAAAACGACTGTTTTTCACCCAATAGCGTCCTATGCAGGAAACCCAAAACCATGGTAGTGAAATCGCAAAAGCAAATAAAGCGAAGATGCAGCACTGGTGCTAGCAATTCGATAGTCAATGAGACATGAATCGCTGCAGAAATGGCGGCCTGGCAGTCTGGCAGCGCCGTTAAAGCCACAAGAAAGCCCCAAGCCCATGGATTAGGGGGTAAACGGAACGGAGATGGCTATCTATGTATGCGGACTTTTGATGAATGTCGGCTCATATGCTCGCAAATATAGGGTTTATAAGTGCTTCTGACGAGCGAGCGAACTGCTCGGCTCGCTGTTCGCCTGCAAAATCTTTGCAGCCACATCGCGGCGCCACCAATTGGCGCTCACCGCCTGGCGTTACGCGGATTTGCACTCGGATAAATCCGACTATTGTCGGTATAATGATCGCCTACTGATCCCCTACTAAACACAGAGACAATTCGTACGGATTTTTGGAGTGTAGTGGGGTGAGCGCAAAAGTGGGTTGTTTATCCCGTACGTACCCGACGCACACAAGCGTTCTGCGGTACACAACACGACGTGCAGTCCGGACTGCACAACAACATCAGTCACATTTCTCTACTTGCGTCAATCTTCATTGTGCAAAAATAACATTACTGTAGTGTTGGGATGAGGGCGCAGTTGGCCCCAAGCCAACTGCGCAGCTGCTATGATAATAAACAAAAGTAGCACAGAAGAGTAAACTACGATTTGTCCACAGCATTATTTAGGATCTGATGTAAAGCAGCGGTCAAAAGGACGGTGCTACTGGGTATGGCCAATCATTACGAAAGGAGCGCATACTGTAACCCTAAGGTTGGGGCAAGGAACCAATTCGCATCAAGTTTCGGTGGATATAAGGGTAATTTTCAGATGAAAAATGGTCATACAGCTTTCCAAAAAAGGAGAAAACCCACACGTAGTTCGTCACATTATTATTTTGATTTTTGAAAAGCATCATATCAATTACTCATAGCATGTTTCTACCCTACAATTCGGAATATTACCCTTTCTCGTCCATTCTCCCGGATACTCAAAAATTTCGATATAAAGACTATTATTTAGACGATTAAGAGCTTGCTGTAATGAAAAATGAACTCGAACTCTTACCCGACCCCCTCCATCAGTCTCTTTAGCCCTGAAAATGCTAGAAAACCCCAAATTTTACAAATGGTGATCTTCTAATTGAGCCTTCTAATCAATTCTAATTCTCTCTTAAAGCATTCTCAAAAAAGCCCCGCAGGAGAAAAATCAGCAATGCAAGCCGCTGAACTTGAATAAGTCCTCCAGAATTTTTTTTAACTGGGTTCGTTGACAAGGGACCCAAACCTTTCAGCATATACCATTTCAATTAGAGAGAGAAATTGGGGCGCCATGATACAAAAAAGCCCAAAAACGAAAAACAACGGGTCCAAACCGACAAAAGTCTCGCAATCTCGCCAAAACACTCAGCAAAGCATAACAACCCACTACAGTATGTGTGAGATTAGTCACTCTTCTCACAACAATTCTCTAACCACTTTTAGTGACAAGTACGGTACATAGGTTTTTATTGAGGGTAATTACATGTTCGATGCAGACGGGCGTGAGTGATATTTCATAGTTCAGTACGGTATTTATATTGCAACAGTTGTTATAGGGGGACGAGAGTATGATTCATGGAGCAATTTCGTAATGTATTGGAGTTGCAAAAATGCGCAAAAACTCTTTCTATTCAGAAATAATATATTCAAGAGGGGAAAAAGATAAATTGCCCATATAAACCAGTATGGAAAATTTTGATGCAATAATTACCCTTTTTACACCAATATATTCCACTTTGCATGCTTGATGACACACTTAAATGAATCTGCGATTTTATCCGTCATCCCCCCCCCCCTCCTTCGTTCCTCCGACCTCAGTCAGTTCCGATGAAAATTCGCAAGCTAGATAGAGTGATCAATCAAAATGCAAAGAACCTTGCTATAAAGGTATGGCAACGAAATATGAAACATAAAATAGAGAACAAAAAAAACTTTCTAGCGCTTGAATGTTGAAAAAAATGCAATGTTAGCAGGACACAGAGCCATATATAACAAATCTCTGTCGAAGCAATATAAAAAGGCCACATAGAAAAAAAACAATCGCTTTCAAATCTCTCAATCGCAACCGACATATGGGCACGTAGAACTGGACATTGTTGAAAACATTCGCACAATATTTAGGTGTTTTCCCACGAATCTCGCTCTTGTTATGTCTGCACAGCCGTTCGTCACAACCGTACAAATCAGCGCAATTCATTGAAAACATAGAATAATTGACGAGGAAAATGGCCGTCAAATTGATTCAGACATATTTCATAGTCAAACACTATAATTTGAGGTACATAAACGCAAACTGACGAGAGAAATCGGTCTGGCAATGGCATATATCGACTAGACTCGAAAAACCTCGCTTGACGAGTGAGGTGGAGGGAAAGAGAGTTCCTATTGCCATGACCAAATAGAAAAGAATCACGGGAAGGTCTAAACTTGTTTGAAAACCCACACCATGATATATAGCGCCAACACATTGCGACTTACGTAATTTATTAGCCAGTGTTCCTTCAATTTAGCAAACATTCGTACAGATATAAATGGACTACGCCGGATTTCACGAACGTAGAGTAATCTAATCCTACAGCCAGTGGATTTTCCGCTTAATATAGTGTGCTTGCGGTACCGAGATTGTGAGCCCAACTTTGCGCGTGAACAAATAGCTACGCCTGTAATGCCGGCCACTTGCGCGCAAAATGTCGACATTGCTGGTGTGGCTATTTGTTACGCGCAAAACTTTGCCACAAAATCTCAGCACAACGAGCCTATATTTAGCCAAATTTCGCTATACCCTAGTAATCGCTGTAAAAATTATTTTGTAAAATTTGAATGCGGGGGAGGGGCTATATTTGACAATATCCCTTCTCCAAGCCTCGTTTGCCTGTATCTCACAGTAAAACTTGCTTGAAAAATGAGTTTTGACTTGAACTCCATTGCACCGGTAATCTGGCCAGTGAGTTGCCGCGCAAAACTCGAGCAATACTTCAGCAAAACAATGGCAAAATCATGACACAGCGAATTTAAGAAAAATTTCTTTTTTACACCTTTTTATCGCATATTAGGTTGGTGCAAAAATAATGAGCGTTTTCCCATTTTTCACTTCAACTTGCTATAACTTTCTATAAAATCTATATTTTGAAATGCGATAAAGACCATCAGATGCAGCGAACCTTTCGCAGTACAGCGCACATTGAGCTACACTCATATCTCATATGGGCAGAAAAATATGAATTGAAAAACAAAAAAGTTCTCTTCTAAAGTCTTATTTTTGACAAAACATAACTCCTTTCACACTTTGTTATTATAATTTATAAGCAGCCTATCTGTAGCCGCAAGCCAGTAGTTTAAATATACATGGAAAGGGCTTGGAGAAAAAAGATTGGCGAAAAGGAAAAAATCAAAATTTAAAAATATCAACTTTTTCAGAATTTTTTCAGTAAGCCTTAAAAACCCGAATTATAGAATTTTCTGATTTTCTGCGTGCTGAACAGCTAAATGCCTTTGCTAAAGCTGTCAACAAAATGCTCTACCCTCACGCTTACGGAGATGAGCAAAGTTTGAGCGACTGCATTCTACAAAAGAAAGTTATGGGCTCTAAAATGACCACAACCATTACCCATGTTAAGCCGCCGATATCTCACTTTAGATAACTTTAAAAAATATGGCTAAGTATGCATAATGTAGACAATTTCCATTACATATAGCGGCTAAATATTCGAAAAAGCATCTTCATTTGCGCTCAAATTCTGACCGGAAAAATGAATGCAACAAAAATCTGGTTTTTAGTGCGATTATTTGAAGCCCTACAAACTCTTAACAAAGTGGGCTAGAAGTCCCTTTCGAACATCATTAATAGAGCATGAAAAGAGCTTTCTAACAATGTGCTGAAACCGTTACAAAGAAAGAAGTTTGATAGAGAAAAGTTATCCTGAAAAAAGTCCTGTGAAAACGCTCATTATTTTTGCACCAACCTAATAGCATAGGCAAAGCACGGCGGGAGAATAAGACTGAGCAAGAATGTAGCTGTGAGTCTAGACCTGATACAATTATGCAAAGTATTATTCAGAATGCAGTTCACAAAATTTCACGAAATCGCTTTGTGAAAAGACAGACGCAATTGCACAACAAGACAAGTCTTAGCCTAGAAGCTCGCTAGCCTTCTCAATTATTCGCTTATCGCTGTCGAGGATAACTGCGGAAACGTCGTGTTGAGATGCCTACACGCACACGCGCAGTCCATATTAAAGCCTCGACGCGAAATTCCCGTGGGGATTACGCGTCCCGGGGAAGATTGCAATGAAAACGAGGGAGTTCGCGGCAGAAAATCAAACGTAAACAAGCCATAGCACGCAACAAGCTACTCCTAGACCTAGCGTTTCCGAAAAAGGAAACAATTTTAAACTACCAGTATCAAGGACAGTTGGGTTAAGAAAACCATCACATGACCAGCTTCTGTTCATTTCATCGAAAACTTCTAGAAAAAAATTGACACACTTGCTTAACTCTTTTAGTTCCATCTCTTTCTCTCGCCACTCAAAAAGTAACAAAGAAAACTGGTTCTTCCTGAAAAGGAGAAGAACTTACCTTTGTCTGCGATCTCTTTGGAAAAGCGACCTTCGGGTCGATCTGAAAATGATAAAAATCAGTCGTTAAACAAATCAAACACTCAGATCAAAAAGTGAGATGACACAGACTCAAATTGTCGAAAAGCTATCAGACATAAAAACATTTACTTCACGCAGGTGTCGCGTGAACAATTTTACCATAGAAGGACTAGGATTAATGCACTTCTGCATGCTTCTGTGTTTGGCCAAGAAATCCGTAAAAAGCATAAAAAAAGTAAAATCCACAAAACTTCGGTATGTAAGATACAAATGCGCAGTGCTATCAAAGTGAATTCATGCGCAGAATTATTCTTTCAGCTTTTCTGTAAGCAAAAACGGACTTTGATTACTGGAAGATTTACGAAAACATAACTTCGTTAAAAAAATGCGCTAATACTCGAAATAAATCAAGGTAGTGCAATAAGCTCAGATTTTTTTGATAATCGGGTTTTTTATGCAAAAAGATATACTACAGGGTTAGATCTGGCTCCTAGCAAAAGTAAACCATCGCAATGTTTTGTGAGGCAGAACGCTGCAAAAAAAACTCGTACAGCTTACGAGGCTCTTAATCCCGCTAATCCCGCATTAGAGCCTTCAGTCAGATCGTTTGCAAAACTGGTTAGCAGCTCGTCTTATGTAATTTTACCGCAGCTAATTCATAGCGATAGGGTTCGGACGCCACAGGAGAGGAGTTTTGCAAGAATGCATTATGTTGTTTCAGCACTCTATTCATGTAACTAGCAGAAAATGAAAAATTAAAATCGATTTTTTCATGTCGCTAAAAGATTACAGCATATCTCACCTTTTTGCCATCTAATTCATGTTCTTCTGTAGCCAATACCCTATCTACACTAGCCGGATCGACAAATGTGATAAACCCGAAGCCTCTAGAAGAGAAAAGGATAAGAATAGTAAAAAAAAAACCATATAAAAATCACATGCTCTTTCTAATGAAACAATGGATTCACAAACTACTAATAGAACGTACAGTAAAAAACTGATTAATTACCTAGCCCGTTTCGTTGCTGGGTCCCGCATTACCATACACTCGTTAACCTCGCCAAAACGACCAAAATAATCGCGAAGTCCTTCTGTAAAAAGATGTAGGAATTAGCAGGTATAAAAAATGTTCTGCTCATCAAATAGACATGATCCCGTACTCATGAGCTCGTTTCGGCTACACACATGAAAGCTGAGAAAATTAAGTGTAGCATTCTATTTTTCATTCCCGCCCTGCTTCCTCATTACCCCAAACCTAAACCTGCCATTTGTCCATACCCTGCTTCATTCCACTATACATCGGATAATGTGATGTCCAGAATATACTGTACAACACTGCTCACTTTGTCAGAAAAGTCACCGACTCCGCCGGAGTTCACCGAAATTCGCGTCGCAACGTCATCTCTTGGTTCAGAGTGAACGAATTCTGAATTTAAGGGGACCGTTCGACTCAACTCGGTGAGCTGCATCCTCTGATTTATAGAAGTACCTGTTTGAATACGGTAAGTAACGATTTTTGTTTACGGTAGGTTACATATTGCGCTTATTCAGTGAACACTGAGCAACTACCGTAAGCAGAAACCCATGAAATCTGACCGCCTACCGTACCCAAACCAGCGCTTCTATATACCACGCGCCTCTCCGAGCTGAGTCGAACGGTATCCTTGGATTCAGAATCCTTCCACTCCAACGCAAGATATGACAATGACGCAGATTCGGCGAACTCAGTGGAGTTCGGTTACTTTTTTGATGAATTATGAGCACTGTACCCAGCTACTGCACCCCAAAAAACACCCATGACAGCATACTTCCCCTATACTCCAAACTTTTTTCTCTCCCCCCCCCCTCTCGTTCCCCAGCCCTCTACAAAATCTTGCAATCTCTCCCGATCCCCACCACTCTTACTCAATTCTATAACTTGTTTTTAGTAACACTGCGATATGAATCGATGCGTCGGCGACTACGCGACGACATGTCGCAACCAGAAGGAAACCAGCCGTCTCTAGCGATGATCCCGTCGCTTTCCCGTCCCCCTTCACCTCTCAAAAACACCAAAACATCCAGCTCGGCTGGCTGTTTTGTTTGCCGTGCTTTGCAGTAATAATCGAGGCCCTGATGGAAGGGGTGAGAAATTGTGCAAATACACACAGAGATAAGGAGAGCATAAAAGGTAATGGATTCATTTTTATAAGAGCTAATAAGAGCTATAAAAACAGCGTTATCTGAGTGAAGTGCATAAAATAAAATTGAGCAATCTTTTACAAAAATTGTCATTTTCTCTCCTTCCTCCCTCGATGAAAAAACTCCCGCCTTCCTAAGGGAGAAAATTCCACTGCCTCAAAGGTGAACGAGTGCGTAAATGGAAAAACGATTATGTCCAAACAATCTTGTCCCCTGTGATTCGGTATGTGGGTGGGTGGGTTGATGGTCTGCAGTATAATAAAAAAATTTGATTGAGGTAAAAGTTCTTCCGTCCTCCTTTTCCGCTCCCCCTTCCTTCTCTTCCGACTGCGCAAAGGCAGATTTTACTTTTTGACAAAGGCGCTCAGGGAGAATAGAATTCTCATCAACTTGCTCCTTGAAGCATAAAAATCCCCTCCCCCCTGTCATGTCCTCTCCCCATGCTAAATTCCTAGAACACCTTCAATATTCGTCTTGGAACGAGTTGTGTCTCGAAGAGCTCTTGCACTTTCTCAATTACTTCCTTTCAAGCACTTTCGGTAGTACCTTCACATCCCCGCCTTCCCTTTCGTTCTCTCCCCTCCCGCCCCCTTTCCACAATCTCCTATCTTGTCACCCTTCCCCAAAAATAGCAATAAAACATGCATATATTGCTTTCGATCTATTACTGCGTAGTGTCACATTGGATGTGAGCAAAAGCAGCAGCAGCCATGCGATTGTGGTAGAAGTGAAAAACAAGCCCGCGTTCGACCGGGGTCCCGCTTTCGCACCAGGCGCTTCTCCAAAACAACAACAACGGTCTCTAGCAATAGTAGCAGTAGTAGGCCCAGAAAACGAGCTCATGAGCAGCTGAAGCAGACGTCTCCAACCCTGCCCGTATCTATATATGCAAAACTTACCAGCCGTTGTTTGCCAGCTCAAACCACCGATGAACATCTTTCTGAAAGCAGAATACGGTATGGTTACGGTAGCACCTCAGCCAGCACATTTAAACCGTACCCTGGATCCTGTGCTTGTGATCCATCGTCAGAATCTGCGTTCAGTCGGGCCTCTTCGTGTTTTACTGAGTCGCCTGTCGGGCTACCGCTACCTCCACCTGCGCCGCCACCACCGGTCGGTGTGCTAGCCGAGTTGTTCATCGCAGCCGTCGAGGTCGAGCCGCTGGTCGCCGTGTGATGGTGCTCGTCCATAAAGCCACAACACTACACCTCTGAAAATATATGAATACGGTAGTCATACGGTCTTCGGAGGCACTGATAGAATATGAAAGCAGTATTCAGAAAATTATGGATGGTTCCACTTCTTATGTGAAAACTGATTTGAAAACCTAGAAAAGCCACTGCCCCACTTGCAGATCATATGATTCATGCGCAAGCGGGAAATTCATATTTGAACTCCCGCCCAAGACCATACGAGGCTGATTAGTTACCTTGCGGATACGGTACTGGGCGAAAGTTTGAAATCAACTTTCTCGACCACAAATGAACCATTTGAACTACCACTTGGGTCATGGCTTACATACTCCAAAATCATTTTCCACATAGAAAAACAAGGTATCCAGAATTGCAAAAAACACTGCCTATAGGACAAATATCTACAGTACCCATAAAGAAAGCAGTCAAAATTTCGAGAAGCAGTACAAATCAGAGAGTTAGAGCGTCTGTCGAGTTACTCTCGACGACTATCAGCGAACATCTATGCCAACAGCAGAGAGCATACGATGAAAAGCAATGCTTTGTCAATAGAGTGAGAGCGCTCCTACTCTCCAATACATGCTAGCAATGTGGGTTGTTTTGGAGTGTCCAAAAATTCTATCTCTCATAAACAGCAGAACAATAACATATTAGATTTGTAACAATTTGAATGTATTACTGAGGAAAGATCATAAAAATGAATGAAATTCAGAAATTCAATATCTGACAAAGTAACAACTCTGTGAAAAATCAAAAAATAGTGTAAGCGCTACCTGTTCATAATCAAGGAACAGGTATACGAATTTACCGTAATTTGCTCTGCCAACCAACTTTTCTTGTATTCAAACCACAGATTCTATTCTGCCGGTGAAGTTCCCAGCATTATGGTGATGGGCTTTTTACACCCTAAGTGGTCATGCTTTCAATCTCAGCCAAACTAGTTCTATGTTTGGCAGAATCAGAGAGTTCAACAGCCTCTTTGAGCGGCGACAATTTTGGGTTTATGGAACCAAAAAATATTTTTGTCAGAAAATTCTATGTGCAGACAATCTGAATTGTTCAATAAATCAAATAAATTGAACTTTATAGGGTAGGGTACAAAGTACGAAGAATAAGAGTTTCGAAATTCGTCTGAATAACGATAAGACAAGCATTGAAAACGAGAGAAAAACATGAATGGAGTAGAATAATGAGTCACAAGAGCCCACAGGGCCTTACCTACATATTCTGTCACTCTTACAATGGTAATAGATATGCTTGCTCGAGAGCAAAGAGCCATCCGAGAAAAAAACCGTTCGACGCAAATGAAAAGGTGCACACAGTCCGTGAGAAGACCGAGAGAAAAACCGTCAAAGCATGACTGCTGTCACTCCGAGGAACTATTGCCTGCACAAAAACACCCGAATGACCAGTTTTAACAACAGCTGCTTATCGATTCTCAGGCTTGATCAGATGGTAATGCAGCCCTCGGTATCAAAAAACAAGAGTCCAAAGTTTACAATTTTACAATTTTGATCAATAACATGATAGGACAAAAACAAACAGAAAGGAGTAAATCTAATGGCCAGAGATTTCTTGCACCATGTCCACTTCTGCGGTATCACTGGTCCTTTCATATGGCTAACGTCTACTTAAATGCAAGTCTAAAACAATTCTAAATTGATTAGATTATGACGCATGAGCACTACAATACCAAGAGCCCTAAGTGGTTGCCGAAGTAGTGCTGCAAAAAATTATTCCAACGCAAGAATATCGCTCCAAAAAGTGGATGCACCTGTGGTCGCAACGCCCACTTAACATGGGTACCAAGTAATGAGCTAGAAAATGGACTCCAGAGTACCGAGAAATGTCGAAATGTCAGTTTTTCAAATGAAAGGCAATTTTCATTGCCAAGCACTCCGGAGTCTAGTTTTTGGTATATTATCTTTTACCCAACCATCCTGATGGGCGTAACGACCCTAGCAGCACAACCTCTGAGCAATATTCTCGCTTCGGAATGCAGCATTCGCGGCCATTTGAGCAGTTATACTGGATAGGGGCCCTGCTATTGTACTGCATCCAAACCTCGCCAACCTCAAATTTGGGTGAACGTAGTTTTATGAGCCTATAACTGACACCCACAGCTCTACCGGTATTTTATCAGTCTAATTATTTACAGCATACATCTTCGATAAAAAGTTGGAAAAAAGTTGATATTCGCTATGTGGGCACATTAGACATCAAAAGAAAGCTGTACTAAAGTGAAACTGTACAAAGCTGCAAATAGATTAATTGTCCCATGTCGTTCATGCAAAAGTTGAATTTTCCCATAATGTAGTCGATTCAGTTCGCCATATGAGCCGGAAAAAACTATTTGCTCTGGGATTTCTACAGATAACTAATTTCCGGCAAGGTACAAAGCTATTTCTATGAAAAAACTAAAAAAGGCAACAATATAGCCAGTAAAAATAGTCTAAATGTACCTCCTAAGGTAGTTGACAAATTCGGGGGGGGCGTAAAAAGTTTGTGACAAATATAAGAAGAAAACCCATGCCCTCAAAAAAAAGACGATTTGCAGGAAAAATACGTTTTCTTCGTAAAACCTGCACAATTCACAAAGACTAATGTCAACTTTTTTTTATACTTCCAATTTTCTTGAGGCTTATCACCAGATGCTGAGCTTCAAAGAACAATATGTATCAGATAGCGCGACCATTTACGCATTTTACATTACCAAAGTAATCCAGCAAATTGCCTCCGTAAAGCAATAACTGCAAAGACTTCACTCTGCAGTAGAAACGTCACTTCCACACTCACATGCCTCTTCCTCCCTTCTTCCTTCCCTCTCTCCCATTTCTCTCTTCAAAACATCTGCGAAACACAATAAAGCCGTTAAATAAGACTTTTCGAGAAATTTACGAGATTTCTCCCAAAAAATTCGCCACAAGATAAGAGAGCCATAGCCGTCCACTTCACCCACACAAACCACACCTTCAATCAATCCGAATGTCGCGCGTGCAAACGTCGTCAGCCAATCTTTGCATGCGAAAGTATTTCCTCTTTCCTATACAGCACAAACTTCGTTCAAGGTCAAACGAAGATTTCGTTGACTTCGAACGACGACGATGCGCGAACACCAACGAAAATGGCCGCCACCGCACCCCTTCTCTTACGCAGTAACCAGTTCTTTTATAGCGAGAGAACGTCGATAAACACTAAAAAGAACGACGCGCGGCAAGTCACCTTATTCGACGCAAAAGAACAGACAGATACGGTCAACAGTCGAACGATTGGAGAGATTTTGATAACCGCACAATGGGAACCAAAGCAGAGGCGTTCGCAAATACTATATCAGCAAAACTGCTAACCTGCGTTGTTTGCAATAAAAACAACAGCAGATTAGTCATACAATGAATAATCATGATACCAAATGTACCGGAGAGGTCGCTGCAAAAAACCAAAATGAATCTAGCAAAAAAAACTGCATAAAAGGTGTAAATAGCATATCTGCCCAAAAAGTAGTTGTTTTCACTACGACCGCAACTTTCACTGAAAATTAGATAGGGAGAGGCTACTTCGATACAGGGATTGAAAGTGGCAAAACTGTTTGCGCCGATTTCCCGATACATACAAACTTTCCTGAAAATTGAGAACCCTATACTGATAAACAGCAAGTGACAGAGATTCTGGATGTTAAAAATGGTATCGAGAAAAAAAAACACGAAAAATCTAGCGTATGTGCAAAAGTAAAGCTATGAACTAACATAAAGCTCTTCGAGCGAGCTCCCAGAAAAATGAGGAAAAGATCCCTAGCAAGAATTTTTTTTTCAAAACTACCAGTCTTATATAATCCCACAACGTACGCAACCTTGATCAATTACGCTTAGCTCGCATGGTCGACTATACTTTCTTCCCGCCAAAAAACGCAAGGCAATAGGTGATGATGCAAAACCAACCATAGAAAATGTAAGAAGAAACAAAACTCTCTCTAGAAAAAAAACCAAACACACTAAGCACACCACCCTTTCTCGCATAACGCTCTGACACATCCCTCACTTCCTTATTCAAGTTGTTTTCACTATCTCTCTCCTGACATAAAATGTCATGGAAAATGACGCAAACGACCGAACGAACACAGGCATATAGACATGCATTCAACGTCCTCGTCTATTCCTATGTACAATGACAATGCGAGAGAGAAAGAGCCAGAGAGAACTGGTTCTCAAAAATTCTGCCTCTCAACGAGCGAACGCACAGCTCAACTGTAAATTTATGTTGGTAGGCAGTGAATGCTGGGAGTTGCAGTAAAAATGTCTCTCAATAATACAATTGGATAACTATTAAGTGATCGATAATATAACTGGAAAACTATTAAGTGATAGCCTTAAAGCATGTTAGACAACAAAAGTCCTTTCCACATAATGCACTCAAAGGGAAAAGACAAGAATCGATAGTTTGCGGTAGAAAGTTGCGGTTGTTCGAAGCGATAACGGAGTCCTATAAAAAATGATTCTGACCGAGCTTCGGTGGCAAAAAAATGCGAAAACATAACATTCAAATTATGTCAAAAATAAAAACAACTCTCACTCATCCTCCCCAAAACGAAAAAAAAAACGAGGAAAAATAAATTTTCACATTGTGTTCTCGTGCACAATCGAGCTTTCCGCAACTAAAAATTTGAGAAATAAGAAAAAGGACTTGAAAAAGATAAATTCATACAAAAGCACTATCGTACTATAGTGATGGTACTCTTAGACTAACTGCTAGGAACTTACCTTTTCTTTCCCACCCTAAAGTAAATTCTACTTCCTGTCACATGACTGCTACACCAATTCGTAAACTGAAGTTCAAATTAATGGTTGTACCGTGGATGCTGATGAAAAGGTGATTAAAAAAAGATTAGAAGAATTCACTGTTTACTGACAAATAAATCTTATATATTCGGCAAAAAATTGTAGGCCAAAGTAGGAAACAATTAAGCATTGCCAAAAAAATTGTCGAAGATACAGCGGTTCGTTTTTTTTTTGCACAAACCCCC